TGCCACACCAGGGCCTAATGTGGCCGCCTCCTGCTGCTGCTGGCCCGCCTCTGCACCCTGCCTCTCCAGCAGGCCCCGGAACTCCCTGCAACGCGCGGCACAACACGCAAACCGCCCTGAGGCGCCCGGGTCAAACAGTCACCCGCCCGTCACCTCATCACGCGCCGGTCAGCCGCACGCCAGCCGGCTTCGAGACTGCCTCTTGCGCCGCGCGCCCTGCAGCCAGACCGTCCAGTGACCCTGCAGCCGCAGCAGTCCCGCTACCCCCCAGCCACGGATCCCCCCACACCCACTTGCTGTCGTGGATGAGGTCCTCTAGCTCACTGGCATGCGCCGCCCCAAACACGCTGCGGCGGTAGTTGACCGCCACCCGCATCAGCGCGCGCGCCGACTCCAGATCGTGGAGCTTGCCGTAGCTGCGGCGAGAGCGGGACGCACATGTGCTTGCGTGTGTTGGTGTGCATGCGTGTGTGTGTGTGTGTGTGAGTGTGTGTGTGTGTGTGTGTGTGTGTGTGTGTGTGTGTGTGTGTGTGTGTGCGTGTGTGCGCGTGTGCGTGTGTGCATGCGTGCGTGTGTGTGTACGTGTTTGTATGCATGTGCATGTGTGAGCGGCGTGCATGCATACATGCATACACGCATGCATGCAATCACACAAACACACACACACACACACACACACACACTCACACACACACACACACTCACACACACACGCACGCATACACACGCAGGCATGCATACACGCATGCATGCATGCATGCATGTGTGTGCGTGCCTGCGCGTGTGTGTGTGATTGTACATGTGTGTTTGTGTATGTGCGCGCGCAACATAAAGTGTGTGTGTGTGTGTGTGCGCGCGCGTGTGGGAGATTCTAAAGGGAGGCGTGGGTAGGGTTGCAATCCATGCAGGAGCTGCGGTCCTTGCGTAGCTGCAGGGCGAAGTGGACGGTGCCTTGAACTCGCACGTGCGTAATCACCACACTTGGGCGTGAGATGCCTGGCGTGGCCTCTTGCACCCCATGCGAGGCCGCCGCGCGCGCCATGCGCACACATGTACACATGCGGCGCGGCGTCCTCTCCCAGCGGCCGCCGGGAGCGGCCGACCCCCCGCTCTCCTGCGCCGCCGCCGTTGGCCCTGCCCCCGGACAAGGGACGCTTATTGGCCATCACGCCGCCGCGGCCTCACCTGGTCCCGCAGATCACCAGCGCGTGCTTGAGGCCGTCGAGTATGCGGCGCGACAGCTCAGCAGCCGCGGGGTACAGGCCGACATCGTCGTGCTTCGCGCGCTGCGCGAGGCGATCGCGCCGAGAGCGGTCGCCGAGGGCGGCGGTTGGGGAGGGGTGACACAGCGACGAGGCGCGCTCGGGAGGGTGCGGCGTGCGACCACTGCTGTGACAAGATCGGCGGCGGGGTGCCATTGCAGGATCAGTGCGGGCGCTGCTGGCACGGCTGCAGCAACAGCGGTAGGCCCTGCCGCGAGCCGCGCACCTTGATGCGGCGCAGCAGCTTGTCAAGGGTTTTGATAGCCGAGTGCAGGTTGGCGCAGGAGGCGTCAAAGTTGCTGTGCCGTCGTGGGGCAGGGGCGGAAAAGTTGCACGATCAGACAGCGGTGCAGGTGGGCGAAGTGGCTGTCGCGGTTCAGGAGCTACCCGCCCCACTAAAGTGCCTGGCCGCTGCTCAGCCTGGCAACACCTGCACGCACATACGTGAATTCCATCCATGCATGTCGATGCATGCATCTGCTGCTTCGCGTAGGCGTGCGAGCATGCTAGCACACACAGCGACCCACACGACCATTCAGACACATACCTCCGCACTTCCTGGAATGACAGCCGCCCCGTGAGCCGTGTCAGGTCCGCTTCAATGGTCTCCCGCTCTCGCCGCGCTCTCTCCTTAGCCGCCCGCTCCGCGCGCTGCCGCTCACGCTCGGCCCGTTCCTGCTCCCACTGCTCTCGCGCGCGGCGACGGTCACGGTCGCTGTCGGCCGCTGGGCCATGCCCGCTGTCGTCCCTCGCGCCGGCATCATTGCCGCTGCGGTGACGAGCCAATGGCGGCTGCAGGGTCTGCTTCTGCTGCTGCTGGTCTCGTTGCCGCTTGGGGTCGTCAGCAGCTCGACTCACAACGGCTGGGCGCGCTGCAACCGCGGTGTCCGCGGCACCATCGGCTGGCACCTCGCCCTCCTCGGGCACCTCACCCTCCTCCAAGTCCGACTGGTCCATTTGAAATTGCTGATACTGCTTAACCTTGTGTCCCTACCTCGCCGAGCATTTGAAGTTGTAAGCAGTGCAATTGCAGCGACTGATTTGACGTGTATTTATTTTGAAGGGTTGCAACAATCTCGATGACATAACTCTGCATTCAACTACTGCCGTGGTGATCTCCATCAGGAATGATCTAATTTGATTGTATCAGCCATTGTCGCCACGATTGTGGCGGCCAATTTCTCTCTGCCACGAACGGTCGGCGATTGCTTGTGCCGCGCGATGCTGAAGCTGCGCGCAACGGTTCGCAGAGCACCTGCCCCAGCACCTCAGCGGTGGCAGTCTGCTATGCGCCGCGCAACAGCCACGATGGCTGCCAAGCGCGTCGCTGTTATTGGGGGCGGTTTTGCTGGCCTGGCAGCTGCCAAAGAGCTGTCCGAAGCTGGGGTGCAGGTGACGCTGGTGGAGCAGGGCCGCGGCCTCGGCGGCCGCGTGTGCTCGCGGCGCGCCTCCGTCAGCGGCGGGCACCCAATCACATTCGACCACGGAGCGCAGTAAGCATGCCGCATTACTGGTAAAAAAACTGCAAGGGGGCCACTGACACCACATGGAGGTTGTGCTGACGACGAGCCTGCAGCGCCGAGCGTGCGATCGGACGTGATACCTTGATGAACTGCACAGCGTGAACTCAAACCGAACTGCCGCCCCAGATATTTGACAGCAAAGGCGCCCGACTTCGCGGCACTGCTCAAAGATCTGGAGGCGTCCGGCGTGGCTGCTCGCTGGGGCGCTGACGGCTCCGTGGGCGACGTGTCCATCGGCCCCAGCGGCGCGCTCGATGCTGCGTCGTTCAAACCGTACGACCCGACAGCCAAGGCGCTGTACGTAGGCACCCCGACTATGAGCGCCGTCGGGCGCGCGCTGGCGGCCGTGGTGGCGGGGCCTGGGACCGACATTGTAACGGGCACGCGCGCATCGGCGCTGCGGCGCGGGCCCGGCGGCAAGTGGGGGCTGCAGCTCGACGGAAGGGTGGCCGGCGGCGACGCCGAGGCCGCGAGGTGCGGCGCCCGCCTGGGCGCAATGGCTGTGCGCGCCTCTTGGCGGCGTGGCGGGCAGAGGCACACCAACTTGCATGCGGAACGCTCATTTTCACACAGGCCGCATTCATACACGGCGGCGCTCGTGCAAGGTCAGAAATCCCAACTGCATCGGCGTCGCGCTCGCCCGGCCCCCCTTTGCCGCCAGGGCTCGCGCGTCTGGGCTGGAGTTTGACGCCGTAGTCACGGCGATGAGCGCCAACTCAACGCGCCGCCTGCTGAGTGGGGTGAGCGACGCGGCGGCCGGCGACGCGGCCGACATACGCGCCAACGGTGGGCGGGGGGAGGAGCTGGGCGGCGGGTCTGCGGGGGAGATGGGGCGCGGCTGCCTGCATGTGGGGGAAGCTGGTGCGTGACCGCACAGGCTCACAACCTGATGTGTAATGTGCGGCCGGCGTGCCGAATGCTATGTTCTGACCTTCTTGTGCGTGCGTTGTGCGAATTTGCGGCCAACCGCCTTTTAGGTCTTGGGCGTCTGTCTCGTCCCCTGCTGCAGCTCCCCTGCGGGACCACGCACAAACACAGCCAATGCAGTAGGACCCACCCCTATCTCCACTCCTCCCACTCCGACTGTGGGGCCCCCCAGTCTGCTGGGCGCTCATGGTCGCGCTCGCCAAGCCGATAGGTGCGCGGCCTGGCACCCTCAGGCTCCTGTCGACCCCTGCACGATCTTGCTGATCGCCCCGCTATCACCGGGCAACATAACCGCTCTGCCCCGTCAACGGTGTCCCCTGGGCCACACACCTCTGCGTTGCCCGCGTCCTAGATACAGCGGCCATCCCCACTAGTGTGGATTTTCCCAAGCTTAGCAACGCCTCCTATTCCATCTGAAATTTGCAGGCCTCCCATTTAATGGTGCCCTTGTTTCCGTCGACCGCACAACTCCCGGCAGCCAACCCCACGACGACATCAGCGGCAGCGAGGCCCCCGCCGCAGCCATAGCATGGCTGGCCCGCGACTCCTCGAAACCCGGCCGGCAGCTGCCGCCCGGCTGCGCGGAGGCCTGGGTCGCGCACGCGGCCCCAGACTGGAGCAACGCGCGCGCGGGGGCGCCGCGGGACGCGGTCGCGCGGGAGTTGCTTGCGGCCTTCTTGGCGGCGGCGCAGGGCGGCGGCGGCGGCAGCGGCAGCGGCAGCGGCGGGGGCGCGGGCGCCGTGACGGAGGAGGACGTCTTGTATTTGGAAGCGCACGCCTGGAGCAACGCGTGAGTGGCGGACAGGCCATGGGGTGCGAGTGGGTGCCTGCCGTGATGCGATTTCATCCAAGCACGGGAGGGCAGCAGGAAAGACGCGGCGTCCTGCTTGCTGCAACACCTGCTTTCGGCTTGCAGCAGCTCTGCGCGAGCCGCTGCGCTGCCCTGCAGCATCCATCGTCTCGCCTTCCCCTCCCGCTGGCCGACCCTTCTCCTGATCGGCGGTCCCCCTCGACCAACTGCCGCCGCCCGCGCCCCGCCGCCGCCCGCGCCGCAGCTACCCGCTCAACCCGCGGAAGCCGCAGCCGGTGGAAGGCCTGCAGGGCAGCAGCGGCGCTTTCGTGCTTGACAAGCCCAACCGCATTGCGGCCTGCGGCGACTGGTGAGCGCGCGCCGCGCGGCTCGCAGCCGGCGAAGCGGCACCCCGGCAGCGCCGCGGGGCGCGCCGGGCAGCCCGCTGTATGCATTACACCATGGCCGGCACGCGCGCGCTGATTGCGTTGTGCCTGCCTGCGGGGCCGCCTTGTATGGAGCCCCTGCCCAGCACCTCACAAGGAGCCTGCTGCTCGCACGCGGCGCGCGCCGCCACACCCGCAGGTGTCTGGGCCCGCGCGCGTCCGACGCGTGGGCCAGCGGCCGCGACGCGGCGCGTGCGGCGCTGCAGCTGCTGCTGTAGCACTGGGCCAGCTGTAATCGCGCGCTTTGCCTGTCATTCATGAACACCTTGACACAGCATAGACGGGGTTACAGCGGGCACGGAGGGGTTGCACGACTCCCCCAAAAGGAGAAATAAGCTGGGCGGCGCGGAAGCGCAGCAACGCGACAAGTTGAAAAAAGGGCACGATACAGTCTCAACAGCCCCTGGTGCTGTGGCCACGGAGGGGCGTGCAGCACGCCGAGCACGGCTCGGCTGCAAGGACATGTGGGACTCATGCTCGAGGACAGATGTGTGCACACGGCAGCACCAACATTTGAGGCGTTGACCTAAGCATGCGCAAGGTTTGACCGGGTCAAACAGACCCGCTGGTGGTCAAGGGCGTCAAACCGGCGCCCCCTGGTGCAGGCTCTGCTTGAGCTTGGCGATCGCCTTTCCGGGGTTGAGGCCCTTGGGGCACACCTGGGACGCGCGGGCAGCAAGATGTGACTGAGGGCGCCCAGCCACCAGCCACGGGGTGGGCAAGGGGTGAGGGGTCAGCCCACAAATCCCCCCTTTTCACCCCAGCCCCAAGAAGCCCTTGCACACACCCAACAAACAGGACAGGCGCGCACGCACACCTCAGGGCGCCTCCTGCGCAAGCATATGCCTGTACACGCGCTCGCACAACACACACATACACACACACACACATACCCACATGCACACGCGGACATACACACGAGCGTGACATGTGCTCCCCACCTGTGCGCAGTTCATGATGGTCTTGCAGCGGTACAGCTTGTACATGTCATCCAGCGCCGCCAGCCGCTCAGAGGTGAAGTCGTCGCGGCTGTCGATCACCCACCTGGCGGCGTCGCATGGCGGGCGAAAGCAAACATCGTAAGCAAAGAGTCGACGGATTTCCTGAGAACAGTCAGATGGTGGTTGCTGCGCGGTGCAAATCCAGGCGGCAATTCCCCCAACGAACAGCGGTTGGGGCTGCACGGCCACGCCAGCATTTGAGCACCGCCACGCACGCCAGGGTCACCGCGTGGGACCGTGCCCGGACAAAGAAGGGACTGCAGTCGTGGCGGGCTGTCGCACCTGTAGGCGGCAAGCAGCACCGCGGGCCCAAGGTACTTGTCTTGGTTCCACCTGCGGGATGCGCCAGGATGATGATGACGACAATGGTCATGGTGATGCTAATGATTGTGAGACATAAACGATGGGCGGCGCCGGGGCGCTCAAGGTGCAAGCGTCAGCGCGGCCGCTCGGCCCCCCCGCGCCTGGCGGCTTGGCGGTCATCTCTGGTGTCCTCTCAAGGCCCCGCTCTCAGACTAGTGCCGGGCACGAGAGGCGCTGCCCGTCACACAAAACAACTGGACACCCCTGGCCTTTGCAAGTGCAAGCCCACCGAGCGGGCCTGCGCGCACGGGGGGCCGCGAGCGCGGCGCCGCACGCGGGCGCAGTGCGAAAGCAGCGTCGGCCCGCATCCGCACGCCACGTGGCGGCAGGGGGTGCGCACCAGTAGGAGGGGCAGGAGGTGGAGCAGCAGGCGCACAGGATGCACTCGTACATGCCGTCCAGCTTGGCCCTGGACTCCTTGGATTGGTACCACTCCTGGCCCCTGGGGCGGGGCAGAAGAAACAACAGGATGACACACAGGGTTGGGTCAGGCGAACGCAAGCCGGGGAAACAGTGGTTCAGAAGGGTGTGCAGAAGACATTGGGAGTCACCTGGGCCGTCCCCTGGTGGATGATTGGCTCTGGCAGCAGAAAGCGTGGAGTGGGTGTGAAGCTGGGCCAAAAACCGGCTTCCCCGCCTGCATAGAAAAAGGGGCCCTAGCACCGGCGCCCCACCCGCTGGGCTGGTGCTTCTGCAGGTACGGCTTGATGCTCTTGTACTGCGCGTAGAAGTTGGACATGTCGACCACCAGGTCCTGCAGGGGGCAAGAACATTAGATATCATGACATTGTTGTGATAATAGCATTGAAATGTTGCTGTTGTGATGACAGTATCGAGATAGTGTGCGCGTGCCAGGATTCAAGGTTCCGGCGGCCGCTCCGCCGCAGCGCACGCCGCGCCGGCGGATGGGCGAGCCTCCACCCGCGTCCAGCGAGGAAACGTGGCGTGCGGCCTCGCGGGCCCCGGCAGCGCGTCGGTGGGTCCGCAGGGGCTGAGTCGCACAAGCGGACGGACGCGAGTGCGCCCGACAGGGGGCCGCACCTTGACGACAAACATGTGCGGCAGGGGGGCGATCTTGGAGGGAGTTGAGGGGTCGCGGTCGACCTTGGCCAGGCAGGCCAGGTTGTTGGTGCCGTCGATGTTCATCGCACACGACCCGCAGATGCCCTCCCTGCGCACGAGGAGCGCAGCAACGGCGGCGCGACGGCGTCGGCTCGCGGTGGCTGAGGCGGGATGCTATTGGTGACGTGCAGGCGTCGCCGCGTGAAGCGTCGCTGGGGGCGGAGCTATTCAACCCGTAGAGCTCGGGCCCTTTGCACCCAAGGTGAGGCCGAGGCGCACCGCGGCGGTGGCACACCCCTAATGTGTTGGTCAGCAACCCCCCCTTCGCTGCGCAGGCCCTGCCCGTGGCCACGGCCTCGTGCAGCTATGGCCACCACTGGCTTTGCTTTTGCCGTCTGTGGGCTGCCGCTAAGCTGAGCTGCACCGCAATTCAACGACGTCCGACGCTCTGCCCCCTTCGAATCCAATACAAATGCCGATCACCACAGATGCTCAAACAATCCACTAGTGCACATCCATACGCGTTCACATGTGCGCACACATGCACGCACGCTCGCGCGCGTACGGTACGCAAGGGCCGAGGCGCGCGCCAACTCCTGACCTGCAGCTCCTCCTGAACGACAGCGTCTGGTCCTGCTCGTCCTTGATCTTGAACAGCACGTCCAGCATCATGGGGCCGCAGCTGCGAAATCGCAGGGCAGGCGCTGCGTCAGGAGTGCCGCGGCGGCGGCGTCGCAACGCGCATGAACGCGCCACTGCACGCGCGCGGGGGGCGGCGCGGCCGTGTTCGAGGACGATGGGGGCGTGCGGCTGCAAGGCGGGGCCCGCCGCACCTGTTGATGTCGACCTTATAGGAGACATACTTGGGCTTGGCGTCAGGGGTGTCTGGGTCCCACCTGAGTGTGCAGCACCAAGCAGCATCTGTTGCATGAACGAGTGCAAATCACTCCGCGAACGCAGGCTGCTGGGCATGCCTGACACGCAAAGGTGTATGTACGTACATCAAGTACAGGCTGCCTGCTGTCTTGTGCATACGCATCAGAACGCTGCTGTAAAGGCAAGCATGCCGCGGGGGCCCCAACAGCTGATGCAAGCGCGTGTGGTGCCGCCGCCACTGCCGGACGCTTTCGCTTGCCTGTACACCTTAAACTCCTTCAGAAGCGGGGGCTTGCCGCCCACCGCTGTGGATGCTGGTGCTGCTGTAGCTGCATCCCCGGAGGTTGTGGTGATGAACGCCAGCTGCTGCGAAAGCCCGGCCGAGATCAGCGGCAAGCCCTTCGACAGCGCTGACAACTGGGGCGCTCCCGCCAGCATCGATAGCCCGCGAATCATAGCTACTTTGCTCCCGCACACGCCCAGCAGGTGCGACTGCTCCCGTTGTTTTGCAGTTTTGACAACTCAGCCTGGTGGTGGTTGTGAGGATAAGAATATGCTATATCAAGACAAGCAACAAGTCGACCTTTTCAACGTAGAATAACGCCGTATACTGTCTGGGCTGTGCAAGGCAAAGTGAAGTCGCCCCTGGGAAGTCGCCGCTGATAGTCAGTGATGATGCCTCACTCCTGGGGCACCGCTGGCCAGCAGGACAAAGAGCGTGCGACCTGTGGATTCTGCAGCCTCCAGCTTTGCCAATGCAACACGATGACATGGCGAGCCTCTGCGGGACCCAGCTTCCTCACCAGGTTGCGGTGCAACCGCCAGCGGTTGCTGGGGGGGCACTCGCTGATGTTTCACACCTATTGTTGATGGGTCCCGCCGGCACCTACAGGTCATGCTTGCTGCCCGTGATTACGTGTGCTGTCGAGTGCGCCAATCATGAGTGCTCTGCAGGGTGCGCTGCGACAGCAACAGCCCTGCAACGCTGCTGTTTTGAATGCCCCTCGGTCTTGGCTTGCGGTGGACCAACTGGCTAGCAGCGACACCGCGATGGTCTTGCTGCCTCACATGTGCGCCAACTGCCGCCCCCGGCGTCGCTAGCCATACCATGCATTCACAAGTTGTGTTTATAAAGCTGCGGCATGCGCAGGGACGGAGAAAGATATTACATGCACGTCTGCATTTATGCGTTGGGTTGATGCAAGGTGGATCAAGAACAGGAGAGATGAATGAAAAGTGGATGTTCTGGAGGCATGCGCAACTTTCCAATTCAGGCGAACAGCACCGCCGCCTGCTGCTGCAGCAGCTTGAGGCGGCGTAACCGCAACACCAGCTGCGAGTCTGGGCTCTGCGCGTCAGTGCGCAGCGAGCCGTGACTAGTGGCGCCCGTCAAACTCGTCGCCATCGACGCCGTGCTCTTCTCAGGGGGCCCCCGGTGGCCGCCCGCGGCCGCCGCTGCTGCGGCCGCCCCGGGCACCGCCTGCCCCTGCGGATCCGGGTGCGCGAGCTTCGCTTCGCTGCGTTCGCCGCCTGTCGCCCCTGTTGACGGGCCACCCACAGCCGTCCATGCAGCGCCGCCCGTGCCTCCTTGCTGCTCGTCGTCTGCATCCAGCCATGCGCGTGCGGCTCGCTGCGGCACAGCCACGGCGTGGCGCGACGCCAGGGGCGCGCGCAAAAACGCCAGGGCCGCCGCTGCCTCACCCTCATGCCGGCGCCGCTGCTGTCCCAGGCCGCCTTGGGAATCGGCAAAGAGGCCCGCGCCCGCCGCCTGCAGCTGCCCCAGCTGCTCCCGTAGCTGCTGCGGCGGGGCGGCGAGGTCGAGCGGGGCGGGGGCGCCAGGGGGGGCGACCCGCAGCAGGAGGAAAGGCACAAATGGCAAGCCATCGAAGCCGGGGCCCTGCAGCGCCTCTTCGCCATTCTCGGCCCCTGGTGTGTCCTGCGGCTGCGCCGAACTGGCATCTTGCTGCCTCTGAGATGCGTACTGGTTGTCATGCTGCTCATGCAACGCACCGCTTGCAGCTGCTGATGATGAGGGGGCTGGCACAGAGCCTGACAACGACCCTGGCCACGCATTGGGTGCGGCCGCTGCTGCTGTTGCTGTTGTCGCCGCAGCTGCTGCCCTTGCGGAGCTCGAAGGTGCGGCGTCCTGTGTCGACGCAGCGGCGACGCCGCTGATGGGGTCGGGTGGCGCGCTGGCGGGCGCGGGCGATGTTCTGCTGGTGCTCTGGGCTAGACGCGCACCCCACTTGACTCCCACTGACTTGGATACCAGCGGCCTGTTCAAGCTGCTGCTGCTAGTGTAGGCCTGCATGGGTGCAGCTGCCGCTTGCCAAAGCGTGATCTGGCGCACTGTTTCTAAAAGGATCGTTTATTACATTGGTACCGTATTTGTCGTGCTGTAGAACAAGCAGATTGAATACATCATACAACGGAACACAACCCGATTGACGTTTGAACTGGTTGCCCATCAGCCAGGTGCTCCCGCGAGCCCCGCAAACCAGCCTCGCCTGTCAGCACCATGGTGAGACCCCGATGATATTCGAGACAACCATCGTACATCTGGAGCACCCGGTGCACCGCCATGGCCGCTGTGCTGAGCACGCGTGCTGCGCGCTGCGCTTAAGAACATGCTCCTGCTGGCAACCACACTACATCCCGATGCTGCAGAGCAAAAAGCGCGGCCTGTCGCTGGAGGAGAAGCGGGACAAGGTGCTGGAGGTGTTCCACGAGGCCGGCGATGTGTTTGTGCTCAAGGTGAAGGCAAACGGCTCGGGCCCCCGTATCAAGTGCCGACACATGCCCCAGGAGCCGGCTGCGCGCTGCGGACATGCATGGGGATGCAGTGTGGAAAATATTAGGCGCACAGCCTAGCTACAGTCAGTGAATCCTGCATGGCAGCGCTCGCCAGGGCTTATGCCGACAGAAACCGCACAGGCTGCTGCTGACGCTCTGTGCTACGACGATGCGGCGCCATCCACACACGCAGGACGTCGAAAAGATTGCAAGCAAGCGGGGTGTCGTGCTGCAGAGCGTGAAAGAGGTGCGAAATGCACAGGCCGCCGCCTGCTGCAGCCACTTGTGGTCACGCCCAGGCACGCAGAGCAGCACGTCGGCAGCAGTTATTGAGTTGGCGAGCGCCGAAAGCCGCTGGAAACCAAGATGAGCGAATGTCACAAGCCACGCGGCCGGCACGCCAACGCTCCGAAATCTGTTGAACCCCACCTACCCCATGACAACCCCCAGGTGCTGCAGAGCCTGGTGGATGACGATCTGGTGCACCAGGAGAGGATCGGCGCCTCAAACTACTTCTGGTGGGTGGCGCCAGCCGCGACCACTGTATTGAAGGCCAGCGGCAGCGCCACTGGGCTTGCTGGGCTTGCTTGCTTGCCAGGCTTGATCACATCCAATACTGTACGGTATTTATGGTTGCCACTCGTCCATGTGCTCAGCAGAGGTAGCGGGCGTTTCGATGCCGTGTGCATGGCTGTGGGCTGTCGCGGCGCTCGTGGGCGCCTGCCGTGCTGGTTCAATGCAGTAGAGCAGGGTACAAATCGTGACAAGCCGGCCGCCGTCCTGCATTGCTCCTCTGCCTGCCGCAGGTCGTTCCCGGCGGAGGCTTCCACCAAAGTGGGTGCCGGGCGCAGCATGCAGCTGAAAGTCGGTGCACGAACGCAGCGGGTTGGGACAGGCACCCGCGCGTCGCTGTGCATGTCGCAATTGATCCACTCAAGCGCCCAGCCGAACCCTTCTTGGTACATGTACCACACAAGACAAGGGTCAAGGCGCTTGCAATGTTTTCCTGTCGCCGCTCTGCTTTCCAGGTCGTGAATGACCTCCAAAAATCCAAGGAGACGCTGACATCGGTGCGCAAGCGGCGCGCGGAGGCGGCGGCGGCGGTGGAAGGTGCCAAGGCCGGGAAGGAAGACTTGGTGAGGCGTGCGGCTGCAGTCAAAGCGATGCGTCATGGGTCCTGCATGCAAAACATCTAGCTGATGTAGCCAGTCAGGCTTCTCCAGGATGCACATGCGACACACGCATGGAAGCAGCATACTCGCCCCCCCCCCAATGTGCGGCCCCTCCCAAACAAAGTCGGCAATACTCCCTGACATTCACCATCTGAACGTTGCGCACTGCTGACCCAGGGGGACCGCGCCGAGCTGATGCAGGAGGTGAAGCGGCTACAGGCGCTGCTGCAGCAGCAGGCGGCGGACCTGCAGGCCTTCGCGGACAGCGACCCTGAGGTGCGCGCTGGGCGGCGCAACTATATGCACTGGACTTGCTGTGGCTCGTGCCGCTGCGCCTCTTGAAGCAACTGGGCGCCCGCATGCGGCCAGTGGCGCCTGCTCGGCCTGCATCCCTAGCGTGCACGTGGCGATGTCTGGCCAAGTTTGTTTTGTCGAGCCCGGCGACCCCCATGCCCCCGCTCCCCCTGGCAGCTGGTGGCTCAGATGAGGACATCCACCCAGGTGGCCAAGGAGGGGGCCAACCGGTGGCTGGACAATGTGTATGCCATGCAGGTGTGCAGGGGCATTACAGCATGAGCTTGCAGCGGAGGGGGATGCTGTGCTCGCAGGGAACACTCCAAATACCTGGCTGCCGCTATGTGGCTTTGGTGGCAGCGTCAACTGGCCTGCCTGCACCTGACCACTGGCCATGAACCTGTCTCCCTGCGCCTCAATTACCCCCCGCTCCAGCACTGCTCATCACCTGCTTGCAAGCCTCAAGCCACGTGGTTTGCTGCTGCCACCCACAAGCACTCTCAGCATCTACCCATCATCACCACTCAGAACCTGGTCATTGCCAACCAACCATTCCCCAGAGCTGGCTCAAGAAGAAATTTGAGGGCAACGAGGGGGCGGTCAGGACGCTCTTCGAGGAGCACGGTGTCACGGAGAACCTGGATTACCTGGAATGACGACCAGGATGAGTCAGCGCGAGCAGCCACCCTGTCTTGGTCGGACACGGGCAGCTGTGACCTGCTGGACTGCTGCAGCCTGTACTTGGGTGTGTCTGGTTGTGAGTTTGCGCGGCTGAGGGCGCGTGTGCATATCTGCTTGACTCTTGACTTGACAGTCGTGGACACTCAAAATATCACGTATGACCCCTGTATCAAGACCCTGACCGGTTTTGGATGTTGTTTGTGTAATGCAAAGTATCGGCATGGATGCTGGACTGTGAACGGCAAAGGATTGCCATGCCATTCAGCATTATCAGAGAGAGATTAGAGACGGCACCGGTTACAATTATAAGGGGTGATGGTGGTTTCAAGAGATGATAGCATGATTCTTGTCACAGGTCAAGGGGTGCGCCAGCTTTGGTGCGCACGGTATGGGGTGCGACCAGGCTGCGTCGCGCCGTCAAGTCTTACTGGTGAGGTGCAACCAGCAGCCAGGGCAGTGCTGGCAGAGGCGAATTGGGCCACCAGCAGCAAGGGCCTCGCAGGGCGCAGGGACCCCTGTCCCCTGAACAAAAGCCACCAGAGGAGCCACACGCGGCGCCGCCGTGCTCACGCGGCCGCCGCCTTGGGGCGCGTGAGGAACGAGAACCAGACGTTCCACGCGAGCGCCGTCACGTTGGCGAACAGCAGCTGGTGCTGCGGCGCGACATAGCGGAAGTTGAGAAACTGGGCCGGCACCCAGAGCACCCAGTTGGCGCGCACCGAGCTTGCCCAGTCGGACTTGAGTGCGGCCTTGACCTCCGGGCCGCGGCCGCCGTCGATGGCGGTGAGGAGGGTGATCATGGATGCTAGGAAGGCAGGAGCCCAGGCCAGCTGGTCGAGGGCGACGCGGATGAGGGCGCCTGGGGGGGGGGGAGGGAGTGCGG